GTGTTGTTGTTGGCGGAACTCTCTGCTATACGTCCACCCGATCTGCCATCTTGTTTGTTCTCCTAGATTCTTTTTAATGTGTTAAGGATCAAGTTAGAAAAAAAAAAAAAAAAAACAAATCCAGAGGCTTGTTCTTAGTTCATTATATATAATGGCAAAGTAACAGAGCTCATCTGCTTACTACATTAATGGAATTTTTTTTTTCATGGGAGATAATCCCAGGAGCTAATAGAATCGTCTAGAAACTAGTTCTCAAGAAATTTCATAATGTATTTCTTACGCAACTTAACAATCTATAAGAGAGTAAATGTTTTGTATTCAGATTTAATTCAAATGTTAAATTTTTATGCTTTTTTCCTTCTTTTTCTCATAGAACCTTCCTAATATTCTCACTGATGACCGATTTAAAGTTATGTTTGAGAACCCCGATTTCCAAGTAGACGAAGAGAGTGAAGAATTTAGGCTTTTGAATCCACTTGTTTCAAAGATTAGTGAAAAACGGAAGAAGAAACTAAGACTGTTAGAGCAACAAGAACGCCATGAACAGGTAATATACTCCCTATCATTCTGTACTATTTCTGTGTATTTTAGAAGTATCTTTGGATATACTTGTGATATAATTTGACATTTAGCTTGTAAGCATATCTTATTTAATCACAAGCATCATGTTTTGTAGTTGGCTGATGCTATTTAAAATAATCTGTTTGAGGAAAAGGGGCTGCTTCTTACTATTTTTATTTTCAGGAAGATGAGGAAGAACCAGAAGGAAAACCAAGTGATGCAGAAAGTTCTGAGAGTTCAGATGATGAAAAGGACTGGGTTGAAGAGGTCAGGAAGCAGCGCAGACTTCTCCACCAAGAGGAAAAAAGGAAGCGACAGGAACAAGTCAAGGAGGACCAGCAGACAGTTCTGAAGCCCCAGTTTTATGAGATCAAAGCAGGAGAAGAATTCAGAAGCTTCAAAGATTCTGCTACAAAACAGAAACTGATGAAGTAAGTAACACTACTTTCAGTGAATAGATGACATGTTCTCAGAGCCCTTGCTTTGTCTAGTTGGCATATTACCCTCAGGATGACATTTTTAACTTCTTTGAGCGGTAGAGGCTGGGTGAAGGGAATAATGAAGGGCAGTAGTGCAAAGAGTTACCATAAGGGAAGTTAGTTTCAGAGCAAGGCCAGAGGAGGCAGTGTTTTTATTAAAACACACTGTTAGTTAGAATTTTTTTTAAAAACACACTTTTTTGAGGAATCGTTTACGTATGATAACATTTTGGTAATTATATATTAGAACATGTTTCAACTCCAAAACCACTCTTTTTTGTTGTCCTCGTATCTCCCCATTGGGTTTCCTAACCAAGGTAAGATACTTATCTGATAACTATGTCCCACAGATCAGCAATTTGAAAACTTTTGGACAGTGTTAATTAAAAGGTAACAAATTCTTTGCGTCTTAACAAAAGTTATTTTTAAAAATTAGGATCTCAGTTTACCTGACTACTGTAACGTTTATTTAGAAAATGTGCCAGAAATTTAAAGCTCTTTATAGGAAAATTGTAATATCAAAAAGATATTACAATTTTTAACTATTATTTAAATAGTTCTCATTGTCATGTGTTTAGGTACTCAAGTCCAGTTGTGTATAAAGTATAAATTATGTAAATCTCTGCTTTGAGAATTTCTAGGCAAAGTTTTAAGATAAAAGATTTGAAATATGATAGATTATTACAAGATATAGAAGTCTTGAAAGAAGACCCTGAAGATCTGGTAGCTGAGGAGAGCAGACAAAAGTTGAAGAAAGAAGGGCCTGGGCAGAGTAGAAAAGATATGAAGACTGAAACTGGTTACCATCTAGTCAGTTCAAACTCATGTGTGAGAATAGATCTGTGCTTTATAGGACTTTCAGTGACTAATTTTCTGAAGTTGACTACCAAGTCTTTCTCCTGAAGCCAATGCAAGAAAGGCCCACTTAGAAATGAAAGGGGTAAGAAAGTGACAGAATGTTGCTAGGTTGTACATCTGAGGAGGTTACAGAAAGTTAATGGAATTGTTCCATTATCTTTTCCATTTTCCTACATTTTTTTCTGGAGTTTCCTTGTATTTCTTTGTTCCATCACTTTCTAGCAGATATCTAGAGTACTAAATGGTGAGTGGCTCTTTCAATTTAGAATCCAGAGTCATTTCAAAATTTTGTTTTCTATTAAAAAATATATGTTGATGACTTAAGAAGCTAATAATGTTGTTGGTATCTTTTGAAGTTCTTTTCTTTACCTACCAACCTCATTTTTTATAACAGATTTATTGAGATGTAATTCACATTGCATATAGTTTATCAACTTAAAGTGTACAGATTAGTGGGTTTTAGTATATTCACATAGTTCTGCAGCCATTACAACAATCAGTCATTTTCCTCACTCTAAAAAGTTCCTCATTTAACACATCTCCCAGACATGCACAACCACTAATCTACGTTCCATATCTCTATACAGATTCTAGACATTACATATAAATGGATCTTTTGCAGCTGACTTCTTTCACTTGACCTTGTTAAGGTTTATCCTTGTTGCAGTATGTTTTGCGTATTTCATCTTTATTGCCAAATAATACTCCATTTTATGAATATGCCACATCTTATTTGCCCATTCATCAGTTAATGGCATTTTGGTTGTTTCTACTTTTTGGTTAATTATTCATAATGCTGCTATGAACATTCATAAATACATTTTTTGGTGGACATATGGTTTTATTTCTTTTGAGTATATACCTAGGAGTGGAATTGTTGTGTTATATGGCAATTATGTTTAACTTTTTAAGTATGAGGGTGAGTCAAAAATTATCCTCATTCAGGCTATAGAATTTATTTTAATCAACTCTTAGAAAAGACAAATGCATCATTTTTCTATACAATCTCCTTGTTGTCCATCTGTCAACAAACTTTCATGTTCTATTACTAAAAGTGTTTTAGGCTGAGCTTCGAGCCACCCATGCACTGCTGTCTTCACTACTTCATCAGAGGGGAATCTTCATTCTTGAAGGGCTGCTTTCATGGAACCAAACAGGTGATAGTATTATGGAGCAAGGTCAGGGCTATAGGGAGGATGCTTTAGCACCTCAAACAAAGTTTTTGCAGAGTGTCAACAGTGTGGACAGAGGTGTGTGGATATCCATTGTCATGTAAGAACACAAGGCCTTTGAATAGCTGTCCTCTGCGTTTAGTCCCAAGTTTAGACTTCAGTTCTTCAGTGAGCATCTTACTATAATGAGCCCTGTTGATTAATTGCTGAGCCTTTTTCCTGACAGTGTTCCAATACTGATTCTTTAGAATCCCAGAAAACTGTAAGCATCAATTTTCCAGCTGATGGTTGACTTTTTAACTTTCTTGGTTGGCGATTGAGGATATTTCTATTCCATACTCTGTCGTTTACTTTCAGACTCGTAGTGATGGATCCATGTCTTGTCATCAGTAACGATTTTTTTTTTTTAAAAGACACTTTTACCCTCCTTCCAGTATCAGTCTAAATTTTGTTTGCAGATGTCCTAACGCTTCTGTTTATGCTCTTCCATGAGTTGTTTTGGTACCCATCTCGCACAAACTTTTTGAAACCCAAGTTTGTCATGGATTTTTCCATAGACAGGGCTATGGCTGGTTTGCAAATGATTTGCCACATAATCCACTGTGACTCATCTATTCAATAGAATCATTTCACGTGTACGCTCAATGTTGTCATCAGCCGTGGACATGGGCAGACGTTTTAATAAAAGTGGAGTGCAGATAATTTTTGACTCATCTTTGTAGCTGCCAGTTTTCCAGTTTCTTGGTGCTCCATTTTACAATTGCACCAACAGTGTATGCAGCCTCACTTTTTATGAAGCTACAATGCAAAAATGTTTTATTTGGAGTCCTATTCAGAAGCAGAGGGATGGAAATCTTCTTGCTTCTTCTAGCTTTCTAATTTTAGAAAATAAATTTGTTTGTTAGATTATCTGCTGGTTTTTTCTTGTTTTATTTATTCTTTCATCCCTAGCTCCTAGACCAGAACCTAGAACAGAGTAAGTACTTCCTAAACACTTGTTGAAAGTATAAATCTTCTATGACCTGGCTACACAATAGGTAACTCAGGAAGTAACCCCTTCAGGGTTTGCTGAGATAAAAAAACAGGAAAACTCAATTGTCTCATAGCTCATTGATCAGGAAAATCTGAGAGAAAAGTGAGTTTTGGTGTAACCATGGTAACAGGAGGTGGGACTCATCACTAGTCTCACTTACTTCTGCTTTTGGTTTTGTAAGAATAATGGTACCAGCCGTGTTCGCACAGCCTTCTCTAGTTGGCTGGGTTTGATGGTTCATTGCAGTAACCACACAGAACTCAAGACACCACGCTCACAAGCAAGCCTGCTGCCCAGTGTCACTCCACTTTACTTGCTCTGTGAACCATTGTCTGGAACTCCCATCAGACAACCTTTCTGCCCTGCTGGGTCTGGGTAAGAAAAAGTGGGAGAGGGTACTGATAGCATGATTCAGATGTTGAAGCTAGCAGAGTTCATTGTAATTGTACAAATCTGAAACTCTAGTATGGCTATAAAATTAGCTGTCTCAGAAGCAGAGAGGGCATCTCGCTACCATCGAAGAAGAACTTGAAGTGGAACGTGTCCTTTGGACCCCAGGATCTCTGTGCATTGAACCTCCATGAACCAGGAACAGAAAACTGATACCAGAGGAGTATGAGAGGAGCAACAGCAACAGAACCAAGAACCAGAGCACAACAGAGAGCCATGAAAGTTGAGTGACTTTGAGCAGGAGGTTTGATTGTTGAGTGGGGTGCCACCAGGCATTTAAGTGGGAGAGCGAGGTTTGCTGAGCCCTGGAGCTAGAGCTGAGTGCCTCAGGCTGAGGTTTATGGTGGAGTGGTGTATCCTGTGGGCATTTATCAGCAGCTCTAAAAGAACTTTGTAACACTGCCAGGACAGAGAGAGGCCTGTCTGTGAGCTCAGCTGAGGAGAGGTTGTCCTGAACTGTGCCCTGAACATTTCTAGCCTTGAATTGTAAACTGTTAACCCCCCTATATATGGTGTTGGAGTTTTGTGTGGCCAATGCAAAGGATTATTGGACCTAACAGAGAAGCAGAGAGTGTTGTGGGAGGTATGGTTGGTGCCATTTTTTTGTAGGGTTGAAGTAGGATTAATGTAAAAATCAAAAGGGATTAAAACATCATGTTTCATGAATAAAACAAAAGCTAAGTTAAAGTTTAGCTAAACATTCTTTTTACGCAGAGGAATTTTGTGATAATACATATATGAGTTTAAAAGAAAAATCCTGTTGCTTAAAGTAACATATCTTTGGTATGAACGGCACCCGAAGTGCGCTAGCATTTTGGCACAAAACCTTATTGAATTCCAGTCCTGACTGGATTATTTTGGCAAATCCCGAACTTGCAGTATTTTCATTTAATAATATTTAATGAAGCATATAACCATTATCCTTCAAAGACCTAACGTAACTCCTAGTGTTTATTCTGTTAGTTACCACAAGACAATCAATAAAAGGCAGCATCAGGATTGAGTATATTATGTTTAATTGTTCATTGGACTTGTCCACCTTTAAAACTATCTATAGTAAACCTTGCAAAATCAGACTCTGTGAAGGGCAAAACCCTGTCAGAGAAAAACAAAATCAAATCCACTGCTATGGTGTCTTTTCCAACTTACAGCCATACTATATAGGATTTCAAGACTAAATCTTCAAGGGAGCAGCAGATAGCCTCATCTTTCCCCTGCAGAGCAACTGGTGGGTTGGACTGCTGACATTTCAGTTAGCAAGCAGTCCAGCACCTAACCCACAGCACAACCAGGGTGCCTTATAAAATAAATACTTTTAAATTAAAGCAGTACATGCTTGTTACAGAAAAACATAGGTGTAAAAGTACTAATTTTCCAGAAATCTATTAACAAAAGTATCAGTTTTAGAGAGAATGTAGGGAGAAACTGGACACCCAACA